CCCTCGGCCCCCCGGCGGCCACCACTGCGGCTCTCCCCGCTTTTCCACTGGTGCCTCCTCACCACGTGGCAGTTTCCAACGCGAGGTTTCCAGCCCGGCATGCACAACCCTTCTTTGCAGAGCCCGAGCGATCCCGGGGAGCTCTGCCCCGAGCAGCACGCGTCCTGGGGAGCACCCGGACCTCTAGAACCCAGCAGCATCCCCTGGCATCCCCTTAATGACGACGCTGCCGGTCCTTTCTGAGCTGAAGGCAGACAAACACCCTCGTTGCGTGGGGAAAACGCGGCATCGGGCCGAGGCCACAGGGAACTCACCACTTTGAAGTCTTCAGGGGTGCACTGCTCCCCGCGGAAGAAGCAGGACAGCAGCATCTCCCGGATGTCGTGGCCAGCTCGGTCGTAAAACTCCAGCATGTTGAAAGGTTTGGGCTTGAAGTTTCGGAAGTTTGCCTTGTCCTGCAGGATTTCCAGCTGCTTCTCGTCGGCAGTCTGGGTGTCTGGGATCTCGTATCTTTGGGGAAAGAGCAGGCAGAGGCTCAGGCCTGACCGTGGTGGCTGCTCACACCAGCAAAAGCCATTTTTGGGCTTCACACGAGGTACTTCGGCCCCAACCCCGGCGTGGGCTCAGCGAAGTCCCACGCACCCTGCACGTGGCATTTTCAGAGCATTCACTGCACAAAGTGGCCGAGGGGTGAGGAGGAGAAGCTGGGCAGCAGCAGTGGCCACATACCAAATCATCCCATTTGGCCCAGCACCGATCCCGCAGCACCGGCCCTGGTTGAGGCCAGCCCAGCCACCAGTCCTGTGCCTAGTGGCCGCATCCAGCTGCAGAGCTGAACTAACTCAGGATCCGCTTCCTCACGGAGACGGAGGAGATGCCGCCCACACCAGTTATGGAGCACTCGTCGTGCGGGGCTGGTGGGGTGGCTGGGGCCACGTGCGGTGCCTTGCCCCGGCACCCGGAGACATCGCCTGGGGTCACCTCAAAGCACCGGCACCCACCTGTTATTGAGCAGGGCGAGGAGCTCGCCGGCGTGGTACAGGTCGTTCTTGGTCACCCGGCTGAAACGGAACTCGTTGAGGTTGCAGAAGGTGACGGCGGGGAAGGTGAGCCTGGTGGCCGCCACCTCGTCCAGCTTGGTGACATGGGGGTAGAGGAAGTAGTACTGGATGCGGTTGGTGCAGACGAGGGCGAGCAGCGCCAGCGAGCCCAAGAAGCACAGCGCCCAGACCACGCGCTTCAGCGACAGCCGCTCGGACGAGAAGA